GCTCGCTAGCAGCCTCGCACCGAGGACCTATCCACGTCATCATTTACCCAGAATGCTTTGTGTGCAAATAAAATGGCTCCGTCCGTGTTAAAATTTATTTTTAAAAATTTACAAAACTAAACAGCCTACAGTATTTTTACAGTTTATTTTACAGTTAAATATATATATGTTTATCAAATAAAGTCTAATGTTACAACTAATCAGGGATCCCTTTAAATACAAATTTCAAAACCAAAACCAGGTGGACACTTGTCTTTGTCCAGGCAGTGTATTTGACAGAAAGGAGAAAGGAGCTTCACTGACTTGTTAGATCATCCAGGAGCTGGCATCTTAGATCAAAGTACTCTGTGCACTGAGACAGTAACCTGACAGGAAGACAGTAACAGGAAATGAGACGTGGCAGGGTTGATGGGATGTCTTCTCTGTGTGTGTGGCTCCTCACCTCTGGTTGACTCCTCTCATGACAGACGTGGGGCTCCAGAGAGGCAGCTGGGCAGTGAGGATGACAGAGAGCAGGAACAGGTTGGCTTTCTGTACTTCAGGGAAGGCAGACGTGTCAGACTGGCTCAGTGTGTACAGCTGATCACAGGCCACTCTGCGGATCTGAGGGACACACACCGCACTACAGATCAGCTGTGTGTCTCATGTTGCTTCACAGCTCGTTCACAGTGTTGTTTACCTCTGAGCTGGGAGAGCCCAGCAGAATATCAATAATAAAATCATTGACGGAGGGAATGGTGTAAAACGAAGCTGTGGAGGGAAACAAAGCAGACAGGCTGAAACATGTGGGAGCTAAAGTAATAAACAGTTTATAAAGTCAAAATACAAAAAGGCTCTGCTATGGGATAAACCTTGTGTCAGCAGGAACTGAACCTGAAAGCTTTGGTTTGAAAATAAATTTCACTAAACTGAAACTGAATTTAAAGTTTTGTATCTGAATTAATTTACTTTGAAACTGTATTTTGGTTTATTAAAAATTCAGTTTGACTACTTTCACTTTCAGTTCCATAATTCAGATGTTTGTGTCACATCCTGGTCCTTGAGAAAGCCAGGCAGAGTAATCAAACACAGATCTGCTGGCACCAGATGTTTCCCACAGTGTGTCTCCTGCAGGGTCTCACCCAGCTGCTGGCAGCGGAGCTGCAGGCAGGTCACCAGCAGAGACAAAGCCTCCCGGGCGATGATGGCGTCTTTGGTGGAGACGTACTGCTGTCGGACACATATCCCAACATGCAGTGCTGTGGGTGTGGTCTCACCCTCACTGCTGGAGCTGCAGTTACTTCCTGCACAGCATGTGTGTTACTTTCAGGAACAGGACAACGTCTAAAAACATCTGCACTAAACAGATCACAACTAAAACGCTCAGGGCTCGTCACGTACCGGTGCTGCTGACTCGGGTGCGGACCCCTTGTGGCAGCAGGGAGCTGTGGGTCTCTCTGATTGGCTGTGGGCTGCCGACCAGATCCAACCGTCCTGCTGCAGCCGCCCAGGTTAGACGCATGAAGCAGGTTACAGTGGAGGTGAAGTCATTCACCTCCATGGTCTGCACAAGAGACAGAACAGACAATGTTCCTCAGCACAGACACATCCTCTGATGGACAAACTGCTGAGTCATGATACACAGGACAAACAGCTGAGTCATGACACACACAAGAGAAACAGCTGAGTCATGACAGACAGGACAAACAGCTGAGTCATCACACACAGGACAAACAGCTGAGTCATCACACACAGGACAAACAGCTGAGTCATCACAGACAGGAGAAGCAGCTAAGTCATGACAGACAGAACAGCTGAGTCGTGACAGACAGGAGAAACAGCTGAGTCATCACAGACAGGAGAAACAGCTGAATCATGACACACAGGACAAACAGCTGAGTCATGACAGACAGGACAAACAGCTGAGTCATCACAGACAGGAGAAACAGCTGAGTCATGACAGACAGGAGAAACAGCTGAGTCATGACACACAGGACAAACAGCTGAGTCATGACAGATAGGACAAACAGCTGAGTCATGACAGACAGGAGAAACAGCTGAGTCTTCACAGACAGGAGAACAGCTGAGTCATCACAGACAGGAGAAACAGCTGAGTTATGACACACAGGACAAACAGCTGAGTCATGACAGACAGGACAAACAGCTGAGTCATGACAGACAGGAGAAACAGCTGAGTCATGACAGACAGGAGAAACAGCTGAGTCATGACAGACAGGAGAAACAGCTGAGTCATGACAGACAGGAGAACAGCTGAGTCATGACAGACAGCAGAAACAGCTGAGTCATGACAGACAGGA